CAGGCGAACCTGGGCAAACGCCCCCCTGGTCACAGCTGTTATATGCTCCTCCAAACCCAGCTGTGAATCCAGAAGGACACCCAAGTTGTGCGCCCTGTCTACAGGGGGCAACACCTCATCCCCTATAGTCAGAGATGGAACTTCTCGTTCAGTCCGCGATGCCGGTATCCACAGCCACTTGGTCTTGGTTGGGTTGAGCCGAAGCCTGTTCCTCCCCATCCAGACCCGTACCGCTTCCAGGCATCGGGCCATCATGTCGAGGGCATCACTGGGCTGGTTTGGGGTGGATATAAAAAGTTGGGTATCATCAGCATACTGGTGATACCCCACCCCAAAACCACGGATGATCTCTCCTAGAGGCTTCATGTAAATGTTGAACAGAAGGGGCGAGAGGACCGAACCCTGAGGCACCCCACAAGTGAGAGGCCTCAAGGCCGACCTCTGCCCTCCCGCCAACACCGCTTGCGTATGACCTGAGAGGTAGGAGGCGAACCATTGTAAAACAATACCTCCCACTCCCAACCCCTTGAGGCGTTGCAGCAAGATACCATGGTCGATGGTATCAAAGGCCGCCGAAAGATCTAATAGGACCAGAACAGAGGAATAACCTCTGTCCCGAGCCCTCCAGAGATCATCCACCAGCGCGACCAATGCCGCCTCCATGCTGTATCCGGGCCTGAACCCCGATTGGTACGGATCTAGATAATCTGCTTCATCCAGGGCCACTGTGAACTGACGTGCCACCACGCTCTCAACAACCTTTGCCACAAAGCAGAGGTTGAAGACTGGACGAAAGTTGCCTAAAATGGTCGGATCCAAGGTGGGTTTCTTGAGGAGAGGCCTAACCACCGCCTCTTTCAAGATATCCTTCAACATATCTAGTTGATTCGCCAGTATCTACCCATCCTGGATCTGGAAGTCCCACAGAATCTTATCCCTGTTATCCTTGACAATATTCTATGGAGTCTCCCATCTGGACTTGAGAGGGTTAAGCCCATACACTTACAGATTTTCTTGCACTTGCAGATGTTCACATAATGCCAGCTATTAGGTTGTGTGTGAATGCAGTTCCTGCCTGCATCATGCACCATGACACTGTATGTTGGACTGTCTCTGAAGCCTCTTTGCATAGTCTGGATTTCAGGTCCTGTCTAGTGTGGTAGACCCCTACTTCTATGGGATTGGTGCTTAGTGCCTGTTCTTGTGCTTTTGTGCTGCTGCTTAGTGTCTCAGTTCTGTCTTTAGTCCAGCCTTTTGCAGCCACTAGTAGATTTCCCAATTTCTGCCACATTAGCTATCTGTCGATGCTACATCCCATGCAGGATCTTGCCTTGCCATGACACTCTCTCAATTTGATCTTTGTGCCATGTCTGCTGCTGCCTCAGGTATTCTCTCAACAGCTCGTCTTTGGGTGCCATCTTACATATACACTCTTGGATGCTCCAGGTTTCATCCAGAATAGTAGTTTGACACTCACCAGACCCTGCCTACCCTTTTCATCGGCTGGTGTAGTCTCTGCATGTTGGACTTGGAGCAGGGGTGGGTTCTACTTATCTTTACTACCGGTTCACAACGAGAGCGTGCGCTTGCTTCGCTCATGCGCCTTGCTTCTGCACATGCAAAGATCGCTTCTGATAACATCAGGGTCAGTGGGCGGAGCCTCCCGCCGGTTTTACTACCGGTTCTATAGAACCAGTCCGAACCGGGGGCGACCCACCACTGACTTGGAGTGAAAATCTCTGTATATTGTGAGGTGCTTCCGTGTCTTCACATCAGCAGCTTTCATGTCTTCCTTTGGCCAACTCACTACACTAGCAGAGTATCTAATGACTGGCAGAGCATAAGTGCTGATGGCATGGATCTTGTTCTCCGATTCTGATGTTTCTTCAAGACCTGTTTGGTGGTACTTGGACATTGCTGTGTTCCTTGCTTCCTCACTGTGGTTCCATGTGGGATACCAGTGCCTCCTCACTATGGGATACCACAAAGATAAATTTTCCCCATAGCAATCACTGAATATTATTCTTTCAAGTGTCCCAACAGTGCACTAATTACCGCTGTAACTAAGTTCATCTATCTTGCTACAGGTTGTCCTCTTTCCTTTGTCCTCTTCTCTTTCCTTCCTCCTTTTCCAAATTTAAAGCCTTCTCCAGAGATACATCTGACTATTAACTAGCATTTTTAATAATTTTACTAATTCTTTATTGCTAACATATTGTTTCTTTTTAACTCTCTTTTATTTGCTTTTTGACATCTTAAGAACTTCACTTAATCTCTACGTACTTAAATTTAATGCATGTTATGCTTTTAGTTGGTTCTTTGGTTCTTAATTTTCATGGTCCTTTATAATTTTATACTTTTATAAAACATTGGTCAATGATCATAATAAACTTGAACTATCTTTATTTCTTTTGTGATTATCTTTTCTTTTTGATACTAATTTGGATTGATTAGTTTTTCTTTTTGTTCAATGTTATATATCACATAGTCCTTTTTAATTGGGATAGTTTTTATAAAGACTGTAACATAAGTAATATATAAATATTAATTTTCATTTGCTATACATATAACTATGACTTTCTTCCTGTAAAGACCATTTGTATTTCAGATACAGGACCTTCTAAAATAACGTATAATAAACCCATATATTAGTTGCTAACTAATTATATGACTGTAATAATCAGAATTGGTTTCTGTCTATGTGCCTTAAATTTAGTTTAGGATATGGGTAAAAAAAAGGAGATTCTGACATGGGTCAGTAATTGGATTGGTGCCAGGGTAAGAGATTTATATTATTTGAAATGTATAATGTTAATAGAGTAATATTTTTAAAATAATATTTTCCCGTTTTGACAAAATAGTTCCTTACTGCTTGCAACATTTTAGCAGATGTGTTATCCTCAAAAGTAGTATACAGATATAACAGATAATAAATTATATTATTCAAATGCTACATTACAGCTTTTTCTAGATTTCCAAGTGGTGACAGGTCAAGGAACATGTTTACATAATTATGGGTAATGTGCACTATTGATTTGCACCAATCAAATCAAAGGATAGTTATTTGTTTGTTGGTTATAGCATTTTTAAACAGTTGAAATATATTCTGATGTAATCAGAAGTCAAGCTAATAACCGATGCATAATACTATGGACCTCTTGAAATCATTGGTTTTTATTATTAAACTGATAGTTCATCAGATAAAATTTAAGATATTGATTCTTTAAAGCTCTAAATGACCTTGTTCTAAATTCTCCTGGCATATAATTATCTTCACATGACAGTCAATAAACGAATCTTTCTTCAAAAAGTCCTGATTCATGCTGAACAAATGGAAGAAGGTATTCTGTATCATTTCCCAACTTACAGAATGTTCTCTCTTCAGAATTAGACTCGCCTCATCTCCTCATCTTCAAGGAGACCTCAAGTTCAGCAAGAATCTTTGAAATGATTGATTCAATTTTTTATGTATACATTTTTATCTGGATTTTAACAGTTCATTTATTGATTACATTTATTGGCCATCTATCTTAGAAATCATGTGCACATATAGTGTTGTAATAAGGACAAGAAATGGTAAAAGTGAAATAAACAGAAACAATGAAAAATAGGAAACCGGAAGTATTAGAAATGAATTATTAAAATTAATAGACTACTAAAATGAATAGGTTTATATCTTCATTTTTTATTCTTGTTTTATGTTTTTCTTTTTTCTTTTCATTTTCATTTTTTGCTTTAATTTGTACAGTATAGATTTTTATTTTAATTCATATCATTTTATAATAATTTTATTATGTTGACATATATTTGCTACAATTATTAATAAGAAAATTGAATATATAAAATATATATAAAAGAAATTTATGCTTTTAACATTTAATAAAAAAAATTAGAAGACAGAATGAATAAAAAATGGCACCAATATAAAAGACTGTCAATGAAATTTCATTAGAAACTGATTTGAGCATGTGAATGGCATTCGTTAGTCCCTTCCTAATTGTAAACCTGTTGTAAATTGTCCTTGAAAAGAAGGTATGCTACTGAAAATTGAAACCAACAGCAGTTAATACATTAAAAAGAGCTTACATTGAAGAAGTCTTCACTGGCAAAATTTACATATCAAATAACAAAAGCAAGATGATTTGCATAGAAAAGGTCCTCAGCCAATTTATGTTAACAACCACAAAAAATACAGACTGATACATACATATAGAAGCTTTTAAAGAGTATTTGCAGACATAAATAGTCATAAATATTTTTATGGATTAAAAGAAATACAAAGTGCAATTTATTTTTACTGATCCATACCTCACAAACTATTGGTTCACAAAGAAGCCTTTGAAAAAGGGGTTTTAATTTGTTAATAAATTACTCGATCTTAGAAATAAATACTGATATATCTATGACATTTCAAAGCATGTGTTTTATATGGTTGTTCAAAAGTAACTAAACCAGGAAAACAGTCATTAAAATGGCAATTGCTATTCAAACTCAGCAAATGTACAGTAATGAGCTTTGAACCAAGACAGATAGTTTCACATGTAGACTAATGGGAATCTATCTGTGCATGGATCTGTGTTCAATGAAAACATCAACTCAGTGAATGCATGCTGAAAAATGAGCATGATTCCCATATTAGAATTATTCGAAAAGACACAGAAAGTATTGTCATTATAGCAATATTTTTAACATGAATCTTTAACATAATCATACTTAAAATACAGGCCTACAGTTCTGGTCACCATATTTCCAAAAAGGATATGAAGACTTTGACAAGTCAAATTATGCCTTTACATCATATGATGAGAGACACAATTTCTTCATACAAGATATATTTCCCCCCTATCTTATTATATAGAATGTGGGATCATACAAATTGATTGAATGGTAGGAGGCTTAGAATAGTATTTAATATGAAAATGCTACATGTTAATTTCAACATCAAATCTAAAAATCACAAATAGAAACTGAGGAAACCAGAGGAAACACAGATAAATTACCTTCTTTTTTCTTCTTTGCTTCTTCTTCGCTTCTCTCTTTTGCTTTTAATGCTTCATCAGCTTTAGCTAAAAATAATGTATTGACATGACGATTAGTTCTATAATAAACAGATCTGGAAAATGTAATATACTTAGAAACATCATAGTCATTTGAATCTCTGATGGAAAGACCTGGACAGCACCTTTTTATATAAATTTAGCATAACATTGCTATAATGAATCTCAGATACTGAATGAAATGCTATTTGTATTTTTTTTTTGTAAATGACTCTTCTTAAATGTGAATTCCTATTCCCAATATTTTTCCCAAGGACATCCTTCCAAAAAGCATCTGCCTTTGGGACTAAAAGTAAATGTAATTCCAGAATGATTCTTCAAAGACAGGGCAAAACTTAATCCTTCCAAACAGTTCTGAACCTTCCAAAATGTAACAATATGGAACAGGAAAAAGGAAAAGTGCTGGATACCAAGAAAACTCAGTGAATCCCTCATTTTCATAGCTCCCTGAAGAAGTTGATGTAATTGATGAACAGGCAATGTTTCTAGGTTAATGGGACAACAAATCTCCCAATCTTTGTTATTTTGTCTAAACAAAATATCTTAGCTATTCATGCATCTGTGTTCTTTCTTTCTTTCTTGAAAAACAAACAGCTTCAGAAAAATATAACACCCAAACCATTTTAAAAGCCATATGCGGACGTCAGCAAATACTACCTGGGAGTATTCCAGGGTAAGTCTCCATTTCCAGAGCATGGTTGTCTAGCACAAAGAAACTCTAAAAGCTATATAAATTTGATATATTTTCCAAATGGGATATAATCTGGAAATGAGAGTGAATGGATGGAACACGCCAAATTTCCTAGAATGCATTGCAGATGTCTTCAAGACTGATCATAAAATCACTCTAACTTAAGTCTGGATGTATCAATTATCTCTCTTCTTTCACTCCCTAATATATTCAGGAGAAATTATATTCAAGGCCATATTTATTTCAAATGCAAGGGCCTCATCTACTGGGACAAAATTTGTGTCTTTTACAAATCAGAAGTTCCTTGCAGATGAAGCCTTCTCTTTAATTCCTTTCAATGCTGGAAACTCCCAATGAAGAGAGGTAAGTTTAGTCGTCTTTCCATTACCTTTCTTCTAAGTAGCAAAAAAAGACATTTAGTCAAGACAGAAGTTAGTTTATAGTTTTTCTACTGAGTGGGTGTTTTTAAATTCTCTTTAAATGATTAAAGTGATACTTGAAATAATGCTAGATCAGTTTGTATGTGGATACATTATTCCACCCCATTGCCTTGCTAGACGACAGAAAGGAACATGAAGTGGGTGTCTAGAATCTCCCAAAACACAGCCTTGCATAGAAGGTGGTATATGAAGAACGGTATGGTCAGCATGTAACTGAACTATAAGATGAAATACATTCTCTTTACAGAGGCAGAATATAATTTCATGGATAAGACCCTCTTTTTCTTTTTCAGTGCAAACTATAAGGCTGTATTTAATCCATGTTATGACAGCACTTTTTAAAACAGAATCTTCTTTTAGAAATATCTCCTCTTATTACTTAATTAAAGTACAAGTTGCTCAACTGCAAGGGTTTTAAACACTTTACTACAGATGTTAAAGAAGATTAAAAATATACAGCACAGTAACAAGGGACTATCAATATACTCTGTAAATTAATTAAATTTCTGTTCTAGCACATCATTTATTCTGAAGCATTAATGTCTCAAAGGGGCCATTCTCTTTTATTGCTATCTCACTGCATGATGAGTGAACTTAGAGAATAATCTCTAATAGCATTATAGTTGATGAAATATTAAGTTTTTTTTTAAACATTGCTTTGTCAAAAGATAGAGAAACATAATGTAGTTAGTTATATTCTAGACCAGCTCTTACTATGTAATAAATCCATTAAAGAGCAACAGTTTCAAATACTAGTCTTTTATACCAACATATTTGTTATATGAATATTCAATTGATTTAGTAAGCATGAAAGGCATGAATGCCACATGACCCACAAATTTAAAATCTAATATCTCTTTTCAGTTGGTATCTATGCCTTCTTAAAATACACAGCTTAAATACTGATGTTCTGAAATGACAGCACCAATTACAGAGACATCTGTTTCCATTTACAAGCTTTTAGATACACTTAGAGTACATTTTAAATCATGAAATATTAAAACTTTTCTGCCAGCGATCTCTTTACAAGAATGTATTAAATTAGATAATAAAACAAACCAGTAGTAACTATAAAGATTTTTACTTCATTTACACTTATTCACACTAGTACCCAGGTAAGGATAATAGAAATTCCATTTAAATTTAATTTTGGTTATATGTGTAATTGTAGCTATACCCCTTGAGTCATGGAAATGCTCAGCTTATGTTTCTTTCAAATTACCTTCTCAGATTCACATTCCACTCTTTATAACTATCTTCAATATGTATTAGTAAAGCTCATTAGAATGAAATTTAATAATGCAAACATTAGGTGGGTTTCAAGATCCTCCATTATCAACACAAGATGGATTGCTTATATATAGCTCTTGGGCCAACCAGGCAAAATTTAGATTCAATAAACTAGCAGGCTTAAATTTGATTTATTTATTCCACCATGCCAGTGCGTTCTTCATAACTGATGTTTTCTGCATAGGAAGAGTTTATTGGATTTTTTAAAAAAATAATAGCTAGCTCATAAGTAAAAATGCCATCTCATAGTTAAAAATGCATTTTTATACATTGCAGAACTTATACTGCCAATCTTTTTTCAGTACTGTACAATTTCTAAATATTTTATTTTCCATTCCTGTTGATTACTTTGAATACGGCAGCAGCCTAAAAATCTGTCTGTCTGTCTGTCTACATCTCATTGAGATACTCAAAGCAGAATGCATAATACTCTCTTCTCTTTTCCTATAACGGGTATGGGAGACTATTGGAACCAGATGATGGAGGAGTAGGAGTAGGAGTAGGAGTAGTTGTTGTTCGGTGAAAATGAGAAGAGAGCAAATCCATAGGCAATGCCCACTGGAAAAAAACATTTCAGAGACACTGTCTATAAATCTGTCTGAGAATTTATTTCTATACCTTTCAAGGTTATATTTTTACCTTGATTAGTATTACAGATGTCTTTCTGAAATCCTTGTGGTTGTTCATTTACCATAGAACATGGCATTATGTATGAGGTAAACTGGGCTAAGAGAAAGGAACTGGTCCAAAGTCACCCAGTGACCCTTCCATGGATGAAGGTAGATGAGAAACTGGACTTCTTTCTTTCAATCCAACATCTGAACTGTTATATTACACTAATATGATCCAAAAACTGAACTGAAATGTTTTACTTAACCCATTTGTAAAGTTACATTCTAAAATCGTTCAGGATTCTTTATAAGTAACTTTAAAAAATAGAAGCCAGTTGGGGTAAGGCACCAGGCTAGAAACTGAGACTATAAATTCCATTATAGGCACAAAGCCAGCTAGTCTCTTATATTCCAAGAGTATATGGATGGTGCATACTATTTTCATTAAAAAATAGTCCTCTAATTGGCTATGTTCCACACAACAGTCCTGTGAATAACCAAGTCTTAGAAACTTTTATCCAAAACCAACTGACAACTTTGATCCAAAAAAAGTTGGGTAACTTTGATCCCAGTGATAAATATTGAAACATATAGTTTGGTATTAATTTGGATTGTGAAGCTTCATTTAAACATGAGATTTGCTGAGGGAGTGAGTGCTGGGCCTTCATGCCTTTAATGATAAGTAACACTATGCAAACTGCTGAAAAGGAGTAAGAAATAGACAGAGAAAGTACAAGTGTAAGAAAAAGAATCATAATGTACAATTCTGTGCAAAAAAATCTTCATTTCTATCACATTCATAGAGTGCTTGATACATTGCCTTTTATTTTTAAAATGTCTCTCCTCTTCCTGAAGATCTCATCCACTCATGAGTTTCTCAGTCTTCGCCTTTCTCTTAAGCTTTCACTCCTCTATTATATATTTATTTTGTAATTCAGTCCTCATTTATTCTCTCTCTGTGACCAAGTCACCTCAACAACTTTTATATATTGCTCATGCATTTTGTATTCAATAAATGTTCATTATATACTATCTCATCTTCTTTTGCCACACAAATATCTTAAATAACCCATTCTCACTACATTTAGCTAACATTCATGTTTCTTCTGCCATATCTGTCTCTTCCATACGACAAACTGGACAGAAGCAAAACCCTTTTTCCTCTTAACAAACATTAATTCCTTGGAACAGACCACATTTACTATCTATATACTTATTATCTTTCTATCAGAAAAGACACATTTTAGCATTTCTCCAACAATTTTCTAATCTTTAGTAAACTTTCACCAAGATAGAAAAGTTCATTTACTTGCCCTTTTTACATCATTTATGTAGAAATTGTTAATCAAGAAGAAAAAAAAGGAAGAAATGGCAGTTCCTTGAAAGAAATCATATTCCCCACATTGTGTATTTCCAGCTTCTTCTCCACCATGTAGCTGCCAGTGTAACCTGTCATATGGGCTACAGAACTGCCACCACAGCTTGGTATTGAAGGATAGGGACTATAGGAAATAATAGAGGAAAGTCAAGTGGAGGCTATGCATATCAAAGCTTAAAGTAATTAATTTTGAAAAGGAAGCCCTCTTTTATACAATCTATATTCTTTTTTTGTGTAACTATGTAGAAAATCAGAGCACAGTGGCATCTGAAAGATTAATAAATTATACATTCCATTTATTAGTCTTTAAGATGCCACAGTATTCTGATTCATTAGTTTGAAAAGAGAAATGCTTACTACTACTAGGTCATAAACACAAATGTGCCCATTGGTCTTTAATAGCAGTGAATTGCAAGGTCCTTTTTTAAATAAATAAGGTATCATATAGTATAACATGCAATATCACACATTAGCGAATCAATTAATGAATCATGTTCAATAAAATCTAACATCAAGAATATAGTCAACCATAGAAAGATAAGCTTTGTTTATATGGCACCAATTACTTATTAGGATTAATGAAACTATGTCAAACCTAC